TGCTAGGATTCCTCCAGCAACCACTGTGGACATGCCATTTAGTGAGATTACTGAAATTTTGCAAAATAATGGGTGCAGCTACTTATATTCAATATGTTGAGGCATTTCGGGTCTGGGCTGCACATTTTCCAACCAAATCTCACATTTAGGGCATCAAATAAACAGGCCTAAATTAACACAGGCAGTCACACAAGAGCATAGCATATTTTTAACAAATTACAGTCCAAGAGCAATCGCCCTATTACTACTTACAGGATCACCATAGGCATATAAATTCGATTAAGTCCACGTCCCCTCAAACATCCAGCGAGGGAATCCTCTCGTTCCTGGTGCCACGATTACTTAACATCACTCAAAAGTCAAAAAACCTCTCCCATATTAATCCACCATGTGAGAAAGTGTCACGAAATAGCCTGTGCGGTAGAGCGTACCAAAAGCAGCAACTAATCTCTAATAAGGCTATCGAGGATAATCTATTTCGGAAGTCGATCAGAAATAATTTGAATGTTTTATGGAGTTATGAAAAAGACTGTAACTAAAAGGAAAGCAATGATTAAAATTAAAAGTAAAAACTGAATTGGGATATTTCGGTCCATTAAGTGGCATACATTCCCATTCAGTGCTGCAACTGGACCTCGTCAGCGTGATGGCCTCTGAATGCATCACAAGAACTCAGTATCATACTGCATGATTTAAGGTGAAACATACAGCGATGATTGCAAGCGCACGATCGCATATTGCACGTATCGGTGCATTCTTGTCATGCATCAAGTCGATAAGATAGGCGCCAACTTGTGCACTTCCACCCATCACACTTTCACTGAGCTCTTCATGTGTTATGATCGCATAGAAAACATAGACCACTTGAACAACCATCTCATCGTCTTCCTGTTGCACTGCAAACGATAAAAATAAAAAAGATAAAAGATAAAAATGTAAAAAAAAAAAAGTAAAAGATAAAAAAAAGTAAAAAATGAAAGTAAAAGATCGACGCAAAAAAATTTTCCAGCGCTTCATATAGGAATCAAATAACTTTCTTTGCCGTAATCAAGTTCTCCCTATACACAACTCCGGCACCAATCATACATTTTTTACCAAAAAGTTAACTATTACACAAAGTTAGTTAAATTCCCCAGCACTAGTGATTTGGAAAAACATCTCAACCAAAATCTATAATTCAAGTAGCCTGTGCTTAAATACATATTCCTTCAATTTTAATCACTGAAACGATTTAGCGAGCTGTTGTTATTGCTAACGTAATCAT